AGGATGAAATCTAGCTCAAGAATGTCGAGAGGTCCAGGGCACAGGATGTACCGACTTCGCAGCTTGCCAGCCAGAGGAGCTAAGGCGTAAAGGTCCACGAAGCGCCACTAGGAAATGGACATCAGGGGCCATGTCGCTTTCTCCCTCGCCTTCGTTCCTTTTCTCTCTCCTCGACGCACATAGTCTCTCATCTGTGCTCGATGTCTCTTAAAATCCTCCACAGCTTAGAGAGTGCCATTATTTCCAGGGCTTCCGATGAGTTCTTTTCCTTTCCTATTCTATATTTGTCGTTTTCGCACTTTTGTTACTTTCATTTTCAAGCCAAACAACCGTACCTATTCGTTACTGGGACGTGCCTTCGGTGGAATAGCTTGTTCACTCTTCTGAGCAGACTCGAGGATTTCTATAATACAGCTAAGAGGGCAAAAGTGGCGCGCTTACCACGCGAGCGGTCCGGGGATCAAATCCTGGGTCGTGAGTCGCCCGGGCCAACCAAGCCTTCCATCCCTCCGGGGTCGGTTAATTGGTACCAGACTTGTCTGGGAGGATAAAAACACTGACTTGTACATCGGCTGGCCCCCGCAAGTCATTATAGGCCACATCGCATTCAAATGCCACTGCGAATGTACAAATGGAAGTAGAATGCGTGCCGCATCCCAAAAAGGGATTGATCAACGGCAAATGCTTTATCCTTTATTTTTATCAGCCATGAGACCTTCCATAGGTCCAAACTGAATAATATACATATTACCGTATTATACCGTAACTGTGCAGCAGGTCCTACGATTAGAACTGTTGACCGTGTTGTCTCTGAGATCTCATGTAAAATCACAGGCTCAACTGTATTTCTGTGTTCAATTGGTTATAGTAATAGTTTGATTGTGAACATAGCCAATTAGGGCAATAAAAATTAAAAAAAAACTGCATAAGCTGCTGATTTCAGCAAGCACGGAAACCGTACGATGTGCGAGACGTTATTGAGCAGTACTCACAAGGGCACCTCAACATGATGGTCCGAATCAAAGAGCTTCAACGGCGGTGAGTCCCATCCAGGCTGTAGTCCACTGGCTCCGAGAACAGAAGTGATTTCTAGATTGGACCAAACACTAGGAAAACCTGGCCAAGACCGCGCATCAAAAGCAACATGGGGTGGTGCGACTACCATCGGAGCGCGACTTTCAAGGATTGAGCTTCAGGTACAGTAACCTGGACTAATCACACTCTTCCACAGTAATTTCCCTGCTAGACCGTGCAAGACTCGTTTTCCAGATGACGTGTCTTGAGCGTCAGATGAACACCACCGTGAACCTTCTGACGGCCTTGTGTCGACAGCAGGCCTCCGTTAGCAGTCGAAGGGCCTCGAACACCTCCAACAGCTCGCAGCTCGATCGACCTCCTTCAGCTCGAGACTCGTACTCGCCCACGCTAATGGTCGGCCAGCAGTAACGACGTCGCAATGTCTCCAGAATCCGCGCAATGTTTTTAATAGACACTTTACGGGTAGCCGAGATTGCTTTTGACCATTTTTGTCATAACCATCAAATATCGGCTTATAGTGCCTCCATATGAAAAATCATTGACCAATGACCATATTGTACATAAGTTAATTATGCCGTTTAACATATTCGCATTCAGTGAGATGATTCAAACGTAGTATTGATTGAATCGATTGATTGACTCTGTGATCTCCTGTTGAGTGCTTGTTTGATGTGTTTCTGATAAATTGATCGTCATTGATTTTCATGCAGTTACATGACAGCGGAGCATAAATTTATTTCTGAAAGCTGAGCTTTCAACTATTGGAGTGATTTCACAAGATTCTGAATACTCAAGGCTCAACAAGTATTCAGTACATACTTCTGTGAACATCGAAAACGTAGCTTTTACACTTTGCGTCGGTGCGGAAGGTGGGATAGTGCTAATAGCATTCGGATTGGTCCCCCTCACAGCGTGCTAAGCGTCATGCGCTAGCCTCCCATGCTGACGCATGATTGGGTATAGCGGATCGCGCACTGCGCGCTCGGTCGACCATCATGTGTAAGTCATTCTGCCTACCTTAAGCGAATTCCCTTTCCCCGGCCACTGTCCACACAGGCTCAAGTGAAAGTCAACTCCAGCACGTGGTCCCGGTCTATGGCTAGGCCAGGGCTGTCGTGACACAAAAAAAATCCTGCTTCGCTGCAGTTACTTCCATTTCTGTGTCTTGAGGTGCAGGCCATAGAAGGTGGCTCACTGATTCTACTGGTGCCGCACTCATCATACAAGCAGAGATGCGCGTAATGGTACAACTCGAGGGCAAACAGGGAGCTTTTGAGCGGCTGTTGGATCCTCGCTCTCTAACAGTGGGCACATGTGTGGAGAAATTCAGGTTACTTGTACAAATAATTCAGTGTTGTAGTTGTGAAGTAAGAAAAGCGTCTGTGTCATCAGGTCATCGTTTTCGTTCACACTCCCCGCGGCGACATACTGGAAAATCTGCGCGGCGATTGAGTTGAGGCACATATTTGGTGTGGTAAGCGGTGGAGACGCAGACACGACGAGCTAGCATGGGCATGGACTAGAGCACTGGAGCGTGAAAATGGTGCGCTCAAATCAACCGCTAAATAAGGGAACCGCGCGCGGCTTGCCGCAAGTATGAGCGCCGGGATCCTGGGAAAACGGTACCCGACAGGAGGCCCGTCGCGCGGCAAGAAGGCAGAGTCAGCGGACGAGTCGCAGCGCGTGATGTGCAATGGTACATTCTATTTAACTTGACGCGAAATCACTACAGTACGCGCTGCGACTCCGCTGACTCTGCCTTGCTTGCCGCGCGATGGGCCTCCTGTCGGGTACTCGGATTTAACGACACACACTCGTTGAATAATCGCAGTTCTCAGTAGTCCTTTTCTGAAGAGCCTATTTATAGGCTTAGAGCTTTTTGCACCTATATAGAGCTTATTTTTGACCTCTTAGACATATCCTTTGCCCAGCTGTCCTACTCGCCGGCACTACTAGGGT